GTTTCTCATTCCTTTAGATCCTGGGAAACAATTCTTTCGTAGCAGCACTTGCCTTCTTCACTCTGCTAGTAACGACATGGCTGGAAGCACTAACTCACACCAAGTATTTATTTTTAAAAGTAACAAAAGCCTCAGCAGTTATCAAAGGGCTTCTCTAGGACAGCATCAGAAGCTGGGCGGGAGCAGGTGGGTAGGGAGAGGCAGCCTTCTAGTTTAAGGTGCGGCAAGCTCAGTGAAACGGCATTAAGAGATGAGACATGATTAGAAACACCCCTCGCCTCACACCTCCCTCGGTGTGTCACAGGCACTTGCTTCCGATTCTTTCTGTGAGAAGTTTCCCTCTGATGCACTCGTTTTCAGAGCAGAAGGCAAGAGACTGGATGCTTCTAATCAGATTAAATGCAAGATGCATCAGAGACGGCCTTTGAAGAAGTAAGAACTGTAATTGGTGCTTCTATAATAGTGTGATGAGGCTAGAACTGAGGGAGGCGGCAGCAAACACATCTGGACGGAATCTCCACAGTACGTACAAAAGGGCATTTGAACTTACTGCCCTAATGACGACCGAGTGCACACTATAGCCAATCCCTGTGCTCTGGGTCACAGAGATGACACAGTCCCTTGTCTGGAGGGGAAACTAGGGAAGACCATCACAAGACAGTGGGGGATCTAGGATGGGATCTGTGACAGGAAGGTCCCCTTGATCCTGAAATTAAAGGAGGTTGAGGGTTTCTGGGGACAGAGAGTAGGCATTTTGGAAAAAGGAGTCACACAGCTGTATCACAAAGCAGATATGAGATCGACACCTGCACATACAGGCTGAGTCCTTTTCTTAAAAAATGTTTCCATTGATTTTAGAGAGAGGAAGGTAGAAGGAGAGAGGGAAGGGGGGAGAGAGGGAAACCTTGATTGGTCGCCTCCTGCATGCACCCCAACCAAGGACTGAACCCGTAACCTGGCCAACCAGGAATCGAACTGGCGACCTTCCAGTGCAGGGATACCACTCAACCAACTGAGCCACCTGGCCAGGCCTCCGAGGGCCTCTGTTACATGGGCCGGGACCTCACTGGGGAGGGAGATTGGAGCAGGTTTGCAGGGTTAAAAGATCACTGGGTGGCAATGGTCTGAGGGAAAAACAGACTGTTGGCCAACCTCAAAGTTAGGAAGACTAGTGACTCTCTTGGTGTGATTTGTTGTCAAATTCTGCTTTTCTGTGTTGTATTTGGCTATGCTTGTTTTGGTATCTCACACAGCTGAGGGTGTCACTCTATTTGGGTAGCTTTGAACATTCAGATCATTTCATTTGTCACTTCCACACCTTTCATCACAAGAGCACAATATGATAAAGTATTGTGAGGTAATCTTCCTGTGGTCACCTCTGGCTATAAAAGTGACCTGCAGCTATGGGGTCAGGAGCTGCTTCTTCCTGGCCCCGCCCCACCTGCAAGCCGCTGCCTGGAATTTCAGCCACACGGTGATCCCCACCGCTGGTCCATAACAAAGTTTTCACCGGTTTGGGGTGAGATGTAGCAGCAAAGGACTGTGTAGCAAGTTTTTCATAAAACAAAATTTGTTCTATGTAAAGGTGTGCCCTGTCTTCTAAATTATGCCCTCCTTCCTTTTTGGGTGTTAAGCTTCCCTTTATTTTATGAAATGATGGCAATGGGATTTTTGGTAAAAACCCTTTAATAGAGTAGCAAGCAGCTGCAATCCCAGATCTGCGCACTAATATTTGGAAATGTGAATTCTCTGAACACCCTCCCCGCCTGAGAGCCCACCACCACCGCCTCCCTCGCCGTGCACGGCGGTCACCAATCACCGGAGTCCATGGGAAGGGCACACTCGGTTCACCAAGACTGACACCGGCTTGCCAAAGAGTCAGAGTGGGCAGCTAATGCAATAACCATGTTGGCCCAGCATATAATTTTATTACTTATTTCATCCTAATTACACCTTTGGGATTCAGCATGTTAATAAAAATTTTAATGGATTTTCGTGGTCTCCACATCATTCACATTTAAATATTGTTAAGCAGGTAGTTAAGGTCTTAAAACTGTGTTTACTTCCCTTTTCCCAACTCCATCTTCTTGTTTGGGAGAGAGGTGTTAGATGCCTATTACCCAAGAAATGACATCAGTGGGCTGGGACCCTGGCCTGAAAGCATCCTCACGCAGGCGCTGGAGCAGGCGCTGGAGCAAGCCTTCAGGAGAGTGCTGTGTGAGTCTCAGAGCTTGTGTGTCAGTGCACAACCTACCAGCTGTTGCCTTAGGTTACATTCCTCCCACTCTAAAATCAAAAGGTGCCAACTACATCCCCCAAAGCCATTCAAATTTCTTGGTCTCTCAGGAAGAAAAATAGAGGATTTTCCACATCTTATGCTAATTTTTAGGGTGTGACACAACCAGATAGATCATGTTGGGTCTGGCTGACAGCAGGAGAATCTGATGCCAGCAATAGAAGGGGCATAAAAGCATCAGTTAAAAAGACACAAAGACATCGTCACAAGCAACACAAAGTAGATACACTTTCTGTTGTTTTAAGTCAGTAGTTTTATTACAATTCACACTGACACATCAGAGAAGGAATGTCCTGACATTTTCTGAGCATTTCACAGAAAGCAAATGTAATCATCCAAGTAGTCGAGTCAGCCACATCTTTCCAAACACAACGCAAAAGCTTTTATATGTGATAAGTCAGAAAAGCAAAATTTTCTTACCTACAAAATTTCCGTGTCAAAAAATGGGTATTGTGAAGTGAGCTGAGAAGGGAAGTGTCTCCCTCCTGGTGTCCCCAATCCTGGCTCCAGCCCATCACTCCCCTCCCCTACCCTCCCCCTGCCTTTCTGGATGACTCTTTATGACACTGCAGGTGGCAGTGTGTTCAGGGGCCACATGGGTTTACTCATAAGGCCAACTATTACACTTCACTTAGTTGAAAAGAAAGATTAAGAAAGTTAACTGCTGGAAAATATACAATGGCAAGGAGAAAATATCTGGCTGTATTAAAAATGAGATGCTCTTTTCACATAACTCATTTAAAAGGTTACAATTACCATAAACATTTAACTCCATTAAAGATCGCTGGCAAAAGCTTGCTCTTACATCAGCAAAAGGGCTCTGCATTTACCCAGGCTCAGGAGAAAGCAACATATGATGTGAAAAGTCACTAATCCGGGTGAAGGAGGCATCAGACTGTTTGGAGTCGCATAGGTGTTTTTTAGATCCGTTTTGTACAAGACACTATGAAACCTGGACAAATCTCCACCTTTCTAGTCATGTGACAGTTGGATGTTTTAATTCCTTCAGCGCCCAAACACACAAGAACATACCTAAAATGGCATTTTGGATAAATTCACTATACATTACATAACTTGGGGGCAACAAAAGAAAACACCTAAGCATGACGCTATTACTTCATATAGAAAAGCACTGGAGGAGAAAACTTGGTTTAAAAACATTTAAACTCAGGTGAATGTAAATACATTTTGGTTAACCTGTGCTATCACGTATACAAATCTTATCAGATATTCAGTCTACTAGGTAAGTCATTTGGATTTTCATTTCTGACTGCATTAGTAGAAGAATATACACTGCTGCATACACTCACATGTATGTATATGTATATGTATGTATGTGTATGTATATATATACAGAGATATGTATAAAACTCAGGCCATGAAAAAAATTTAAAATACACATACTTAAAACCTGTATCTCTAAAAATAAATACAATAGCCTCTAAATGGGCTGATTCTCAGTTCCTTCACAAACCAATCAGAACATGGTTTCTCAACAATGGCAGATGGCCAATTAGCTGCTCTTTAAACCCATTATCTACCAGTAAACTTTGTAAAATTCAGACATACAACAGAAATAACTTTGCCAGGAGGAAATGTACATAGAATCCTGGCTTTGAAAAAGAAATATCCTGGCTTCCTTGAAGTTCAGTTCCTACCGGTGCCAGGTCTGTGCCTCTGCATTGCGTGGCAGTGGGAAAGGAGCCGTGTGGCAGCATACTGCTGCTCCACTCACACTCCTTCCTGACCATGGAGCCAGCTGGCATTTCTATTGCTGTTCTGTTCGAGGGAACTCACACAGCACTGCTTGTGTTTGATACCATTCCTATAATCACAGTGAGTTTTGTGTGTTAATGTAGTTTACAATGTGCTGATACCACTGAGGTAAAGCAGTCGCCCTGGCATTTTAAAAAATGTCTCCCAGGGAGCAATAGGGTAAAGGGTCTGGTGGTGTAGATCTAGGTTCTATGAAGAAACCCAAAACCACGGCCAGAGTGGCACACAGGAGATCTGGCACTGTAGCTCAAACAACAGAAGCAGATGCAGACGGTACTCGGTGCTCTTCCCTAGAGAGGAGGCAGTTCACAAAACGGAGGGTCCCTTTTTCCTTTTACATGTCCACAAATAACTCTTAAAATGATAAAGCCAGACCATAATGTTTAATATATGCATTACTTAACAACCTTGTCAACTTTGTTTTTGAACACAAGAATGCCAGATATGGAGAAAATCCATGATAAAGGATAGGAAGAATGTTTAATGCCACTGCCTAAATTTTTTAAAAGGAAAATTTACCATAGCTGAAATGTAACTTCTAAAAAATACAGTGTTCTAGGCGCTCACAGTTCCAGATTGCTAATTTTATAAGTTAAAGGTAGAAGTTATCCATATATAAACAAGGCCTCTTTTTCATTGATTTCAATCTTGCTCAAACCTTTGGATATTTCAATCTTCAGATTCCACAAGGTAAGGCTGGGTTTATCAAATATAAATAAAATGTTTATGTCCATGATGTATTTATTGTAGCACTAAGAAAACAAATGAGTCAAATATTTACAACCTGGCTACAATACTTTTCTTTTTTTAAAAATTCAAATGTGTATCAACATCAAGCCACATTGTTTGTTGGATTTCTCTGGCTGCAAATGAGGCGACAGCATTTTTCTTTCATCTCTCCTCTCAATCCTGAAGTCAGAGGCAGGACTTAGGTCAAAGGGCGAGGTCTTTTGGGAGGTGGTGGAGGCATGAGCTCCGTGTCAGGATCCAGATGATGCTTTCGTTTCTGTCCCTGAGAAGCTGCACATCTGTCAATGAACTCAAACAGAATCTCCTTGGTGACAGGGTTTGAGATGCTGTTGCATACAGCTGTGGACAAAGGAAGACACGTGTCTCGCGTGAGGGTTAATTAAGGCAGTGGGCTCACCACAGGGAGATGAGAAAGGTGAAAGGTTTCCCTTCCATTTTGCTAAACACCCCCTCTTTACTGATTGGAGTGACATGCTTCGGATTAAACTATTTTCTTCCCTCTCCCACTCTCCAAAAGAGTTTTTCCAGTAGCTATTCATTACTGTACTATTAATTTTAAACTAAAACTTTAAGTACTTGGGTTATAAACATGTATCCACTATGGTTTTCTGTCCCCCCAAATAGTGGTTACAGGATTTTAACCTAGCATAGTGCATCACATTATAGACCATACTCAACTAAAATTTCTACAAAAATATGTGCTACAGTCCATTCTTTCCCAGAAAACAGTCCACACTGCAAAGTATATAGCTCAGCATCAGCAGCCATTCCCACTGAACAGGCAGGTTTCACTGTAGCTGGTAGGTAATATTATTTTAATAACTTGTTTGAAGTAAAATTACTAATTTAAAAAAGCAAATTTTCTTATGTAATCAAATTTAGTACCAGTCCTTTTAATTGTATTTACCAATTTGGATTTTTTGGAGGGGAAAGATACTGGCTTAATTATTACAATTTTCAGAATTAACTCACCTTGTTTGAACTTATCTGTTAAATTCAACAGTAACTTTTAAGCTGCAAAACTCAAACTAGCAATTTCTATATTTTCTCATAATCTTATCGTTAATCATCATCACCACTGACTGAGCACTCTAGAAATATGCAATTCTACTGACCTTTAATCTTGGTTTTTATCTTTTTTTCCAAACTCCTCTAAAAATGCAATCCAGGGCAACAACTGGATTTGCTGTTTGTATTGTTCCCCAGGACAGACACTTACTATTCTGAATCCCCAAAGCATTCACACTGTCCCCAAAGATCACCCTACATGATAGCAGAGCAGGTGCAGCAGTCGCCAACTTTTTGGACCACCAGTTGGTGACCACTGGTTTAGGGTGTTATTTTTTAACAGCTTTCGTTTACTTCGTTCTCCATTGTTTGTAGAGCTATTTTAGGAGTTGGAAATTACATTTCCCCCCTGCTAATTTAGTCATTTACCATCTGGCAAACAATTGCTATAGTTTTGAATAGAACTGAAATAAATTATCATGACTCTTGTTGTTCAATAAATTCAACTTGTATACAGTCCGTCATCCTGCCCTTTAAGCTTCCCTCTTGGACACACGGGCACAAGCCCACAGGTCTATCTAAATAGGAGAACCTACAGACCAACCAGAGCCGACCAGGGGGCAGACCTGACCCAACCTGATCCCAATGAGCAAGGACAGGCTCCCATGACTCTGCCCAAGAACAAGAGAGCAGCACGTTTTGCTGGTAATGGAACAAGCATCGGTAGGTTGTCACACTCACCCATGGCAGTGTTGTAGGCATTAGGAAAACTTTTGTCTGTTCTCTGTCTCATGAAGACCCAGCTGTTGTTCTCAAATTTGCATTCTATAATTTTGTTGTCATACTGTTTTAGATCTTTTGTCACCTGTTTTAAAAGAGAATTGAGGATAATATTTAAAACGTTTGAAAGGATTTTAGCTCCTAATGTGACAGACACATTAGGAAATGCCAAAAACATCTCAGGAACTCTTCATGCAGACCTCTTCGTCATGTGAGATGTCTAATCAAACCTGAGGCTATGTACATACGCCCTTGTACATATGTTCATTAATCTGACATTTTATAATTGTGAAAAACAGCTGTCAATATATAGTAATTAAAGGAAGCTAAGCAAATACCAGCCACTTTGGGGCCAAAGGCAAATGTGTTACCATAGGAATCAATGTCTTCAATATTATCTGTGTCCCTATGGCTTTCAGAAATTGAATCTGTTGCTTACATTTCATCAACTTTCAGAAAGGTCTCACCATCTAAATTTCTATGTCAAACCTAAAAAAAATACCATTTAAAAGAAATAGTAACACATAAAGAGTAACATCAGAATCACATTCAGGCAATGTGAATCCTAAATATCTTGTTTTTCAAGCAGCAATAATTAACCAAAAATCTAATCTTTAGGCTATTTATTACCCTTTCCATTCCTCCAAACTAGTATAAGATTAGAGATGAAGCTACTTTTAATTTTACTTGGTAGATTTTTTGGCTACTTCAGCTCAGATGATTAAATATGGATTACAACTTACTCCATCAAAGCTAACAAGTATCCATGGCAACTATAAAACCTTTTAAAAGATATTTCATCAGACTGTGAGGATGGTTTTCATAAATAGGAACCTAAGCTTATCTTTGCAGTTTTCAAATCAAATGCCAGTCATGGTAATATTTTAATTCTGTCCTCATCTTTCCCAGCTAACAACTTTCCCTCACAATATGGAAGATTGCAATCATTTAACTTCATTAGCATTATTTGAAATGCTCTCATTTTTCTACCCACATTTTCACTACCACCTAGGAATATGAAGGGAGCAAATTTAAAAGATGCTTTCAAATCACAGATTAGGCAGTACATGTCTTCATAAAAGCTTTCAAACTGTATTCTTCTTCCCTTAATGAATATTACATTTAATTGGACTATTTGCATTTTCAACAAATCCAATAGGTCCAGTACATTCAGTGGCTCTGGAACCAGACCTGCCCAAAACAGTCATGTTCCACTTAACAAACTTGCTAAATTAATTCTCAGATATTCATTGTTCTAGTCTCAACTCTATCCCAGTCCTTCATAGGGATCCATCTCTTTTAATTTGATACATTATATATATATTCAAGTATTAGGCAACTAATTCAGTGAGGAAACCCAGTTATGTTAAACCATATGTAGGATCAAACAGAAGTAAGTTTATAAACCTTTCACAGTTTCCATTTTCTAATTTCTAAAATGGGCAAAGGAATTTCTAATTTACTGAGATACTGGAAAAATAATAAGTGAAAGTGCCTGGCACATAGTAGCCAACTGGTAAACTTCATAATAAAATATAAAATTGGGAAGTGAAACATTGCTTATTTAAAAAAAACAAAACAATTACCTTACAATGAAATTTATTAAAGAAACCAGGATGACATAGAAAAGTACACTTTGGAAGCAATTATGTACCATTTGCATTCTATAAGAATGGTTTGCTACCCACAATATGCAGTCTGTACTTTACTGACTAGCAATTGTAGTCAGTCTTTATCAATGGGCTAATCATTCTTGTGTTCCTGGTTTCTGAATTGCTATAAATCTATGTGTTGCTCAACCTGACTACAGCAATTAAGCACTATTATTAAGTGTCTGTGTATCTACTTGGGCATGCACTAACAATCTGAAAAACAGAACTTTTCAGAAAATGCATACACCTCCACTACACTCACCAAACCTTATTTCCTTGTTCAAGAACAGCACATTGTCCTTCATGATCACACCAGTTATATTGCCAAGACATACACACTGCAAGGTACTCAAATGATCAGATGGTAAAATATATTTAACTGGTGAAAACAATACCTCCCATAGGTGCACAAATTAAACCAGTTTTCCCTAATGGTCATATCAAGAGAATGATTGGCATACAGAGGAGTTTAACTTTACTATCCAAATTCTAATTTATTATTATTACTATGACAATACTCATTCTCAGCCTATTGCATATTATTATTTACTAAAGCAGACTCCATTAGGACTTCTACAATAACCTCTGGTTATCCTACTCTGAGTTAATAAGAACTTGAAAATAATAAGAATAAAATATTCATAAATCAGGATTTCACATCTGTACATATAATCACATCTAACTATATTTTACTGTTGTTTTAAAAAAGAAGAGCAATGGACACTTTTAATACTACTTTTAATACACACTTTTAATACTATTGGAATCTACCAATGACTGTCTGGGGTTAAGAGACAGTCAGAGGAAAGTGAATCTAATGCCTCTGAAGATTTTAAGTTAGCAGCTCAATGATAATACCTGGAATGCAGGGTCTAAGGCAGGTAGAATCACAGCTGCTCCACACTGCACTGTTTTACAGAATACTTTTTGTAGTCTAGGTGGTTAGGCACATTACCAACTCACAAAAGGCAAACTATCAGTGTTGGCTAAACTGACCTGTGTGGATCTTGAGAAAGAAAACACCTAACAAAAAGGGCTCCCGTAGCTAGATAATTGGACTGAAATAAACAAACAAACAAACAAATAAAATCTCCAGCCTAGTAGCCATTTCTACACGGGAAGGGAGTAGGGGGAAAGAAGAGGCTTTCATGCAAACTGCACTTTAGGGAGAAGCCTGCACTGAACTAACTGCCCACCTGTGTTTCTGCCATCTGATTCAGCCCTGAGTTCCTGGAATCCTTTTTCAACCAATAGGACTGAAGCTTTTGCCATCCATCAAAGATGCACAACTCCCACCAGCTTCTTCACTGACCAATCAGGACAGTGCCTTTTAGACCAAACTGAGAGAATCCGGGGAACTCATTTGCATGAAAATAGACCAATCAGGGACCAGGGTTGGGGATTTCTGTGTATATATGTCACTTCTCCTTTGGCTCTGGGACCATACTTCCCCTTTCCACTGAAGACTGCATTTTTAAAATCATTGAGCTAGACAGCTGTACTCTGCTCCATGCTGGTCTGCTCTGCCCTGCTTCAGTGAGACACCTTTGGTGTTTCAGCTCCAGCATTTCCCTGGCTGGAGCTGAAACACCAAAGATGTCTCACTGAAGCAGAGCAGAGTAGACCAACATGGAGCAGAGTACAAATGTCTAGTTCAGTGATTTTTAGTCATTTACATCTCATGACACATATAAACTACTAAAATTCTATGGCACACCAAAAAATGTATTTTTTTGCCAATTTGACAAAAACAATAGGTATAATTTTGGTTGAGTTGGCTGCCTTTTTAAAATTATTATTATTATTTGACAATCTAATGGAAAAGAGGTCAGTGCCCCTGACTAAATAGTTAGGTATTGCATGTTTTAACCTGGGTCCCACAGGTTAAAAATTGCTAGGTTAGCTAGAGAGGGGCCTAGCCCCATAGTTATCTCACATGTATCACAATTGATCTGCTTATGCTAAATAAAGTGTCCTTCTTCACTGTTACCCCAAGTTGGGGATTCCTGTTGGTGTGGAATTGATGCCAACAACCATGGGTTGGCACCTGCACAGAGCAGGCAAAGACACGTTTCTATTTCTAGTGGGACAAAAGCCTCTAAAACTTACTGAGGCTTCGAGGGGTCCCACATAAGCCTGAGTCATTCTCAAACTCTTTCTCTTATACCCTTTTATATTACACTAGATGCCCGGTGCACAAAATTTGTGCACAGGGAAGGTCCCTAGGCCTGGCAGGTAATCAGGGCCAATCGGGGTCTTTTGACTGCTGGCTGGGGCCTGCCTTCATTCTGCACTGCCCCCTGGTGATCAGTGCACATCACAGCAAGCAATCGAACTACCAGTCTCCTGATCAAACTCCCAAAGGGACACTTTCCAGGACCCCTTGGGGTATGTCTGACTGCCGATCAGACATCCCTCTCACAATCCTGGACCACTGGCTCCTAATCACTCACCTGCTTGCCTGCCTGGTCACCCATAACTGCCCCCCGCTGCCATTCTGGTCACCCCCAACTGCACACCACCACCCCTGCTGGCCTGGTCCCCCATGCAGCCTGCTTGTTCAGTCGTTTGATCACTCCTCACTAACCCCACTGCCCAGCCTGGTCATAGGCAGCCATCTTGTGAGGGTGTGGGGGTAAATTTGCATATTACCTCTTTATTATATAGGATGTACAGTCTAGCTGACTATATGTCATCTTTATTTGAATGTCTCATAGACTTCTCAAGCCAACCATGTTCAAAACTCAACTCTGCATCTTTCCCCAAATCTATTTCTTCTCTTGTTTTCTCTACCTTCATAAACGGTTGCTCCACTCAGTTTCTCGTGACAAAAACCTTGGTATTTGGCTGATCACTTTTCCTTTTATTTTCTCTCATATTCAATCTATTCCACAAGCCTACTAATTCAACCTCCAACATCTATTCTGATTGTGTCTTTATGTCTCCTCTCACACTGCCATTACCACAGTCCAAGCCATCTCTGTCTCTACTCTGCAAGAGCTCCCACATGAGTCTCTTCTACATCTTTCCATCCTGTCCATTCAAAGAATCTCCTTTTCCCTAAGAATCTAAGTTGAAAAAATATAAAAGGAGGCAAAAGCAGAATACACTTGTGGATGCTTTACTTCTTGTGTAATAAACTGTAATTAAGAATTATTTCCAAGGATTGAATTCCACTTGGGAGAGTTGGTGGGTGGAAGATGAAGTGATATGTGATGGGTGAAGGACAGAGGGCATAACATATTAGTGCAAGCACAAATGTCTATCAAGTTTCTTTTCCTTTCCTTTCCAAATGCACACCATTCTGACCTGCATCATCGCTGCTGTTTGCTATTCTAGTTATAGCACAAACCACAAATCATAGCAAATCGCAGAATTTCTCAATCATTAAAGATTTACAATAGATTAATTTTAAAATGGGCTGCACTTCACA